GTAATTTAAATAAATTTAAATATTACTAGCAAAGAAAATAAATAATTATGCGAATACAAAGATATATCATTAGGCATTTAAGACGTTGTCGTGAGGATTATAAAGTAATATACAAATCCATATTTTCATTGAGCATTGAAAAAATCTAATTATTGAATACATAATTAACTCCTTTTATTCTTTTAATTGAATAAGTTATATTGTAGATTAGGGTCTAACATTTTTCTTAAATAATTCGTTTAACTAAGTAGGTTAATTTCGTTTCATAATCAAATTCTCTGAGTCATTTAGTGTTGTATTCCAGAAATGAAAGATTTCTTTAATAAATAACTTTAAATGTTCAAAATAGATATAATTTTAATCTAAAAGTAAAGATTCCAAATAATTCTATGTAAAAATTTCAAATATCCTTATGATTTGACCTCATTTTTGACCAAACGTCAAATTATTTTTATCAAAGTTCTAAAACAATTTAATCTAATACTGTTGTCAGACAGATAAGGATAACAAACCAAATAATAAAAATGAATGAAAGTAAATAAATTGGTTTTATTTAATTGAATCCAATATTGTAAAAATGGGATAAACAAAGATTTTGACTTAAAGCAACTTTTGGGTGTTACATAGCATTTGAGGTCAAATCTAACGTTTCATGGAAAAACGAAATATTCCCTTTGCTACTTTAAGATGTGTGTATCGTGTGTTATGAATAGGTTTAACGATGATATCTAGATTTAAGGTAACCTTACATCCGGATACCTTAATCCGAATGTATGGGTAAAAATACAATGAGTGAAATGGCTCAGCTTTAACATAATCATTTGTTGTAAAAAAAAATAAACTATAACAGATGAAATTAAATTAACTGCACCGCAAAAAGTATTATAACTTAGTGATTAAAAGACCATAATTCGCAAATACCTATGTTTATTGGGAGCGATGATATTGACATTTCAAAATATATTGTCAAACGATCCTTTCACGCAATGTAAGGGTAAAATAAATCATTCTCAATATCCATATAGGGTGAAATGGTTCGCATGCTTTTCAATTATGCACAAACTCATTGCATTAAAATAGTTTAAAATAGAACAATTCAAAAACACTTTTTACCCGATGGATATGGCTGAAAGGTCTTTTTAATACTCACAAAGCAGAAAGAGACCAACATGAAAATAAGACCTATGTTCGTTACCATCATTGTGTTACTAAGTGGTCCTACGGTTTAAGTTCTTCTGGACTAATCCCTAAAAATTTCGCTCCGGTTTTCTAAGAAATTTCCGAAATAGTAAATTAGAATTTATTTGGGCCATTTCGCGTTCTGGAGAGCCAAGATCCCCGGTCCCTGTCTAGTAACCCTACTGACAATCTGGCTAGCTCAGAGTCGGGTTAGACCTTGTCCATAATGTGTATAGCTTGAGACAGCCCTAAGTAATCCAGCTGTACTAAATAAGTAATATTAGACTATCTCTATTGTGAATTTTAAAAAAAACTGTTCTAATGCATTTACTGTATAAAATGATAATTTAAAATAAAAAGAATATGATAACAGATGGCCTTTATTGTGTTCATATTTCTGTTAATAAATTTTCATAAATCCTAATGATTCACTCCATGGAAATTGAACCAAATCACCCCATACGCAAAACAGCACGAGAAAAAAGTATATTCAGTTGTTGACTACCGCCACATTAGCCCTACCACGGCATAACATCGTTAAAAAGATTCTTCTTTTTTTAATAATATATTTCTAATTTTATTTGTAAATCACAAACAAAATATTTTAGTTTATTGCTGGTGCCGACAGTACCTTGCGAAGTATTCATGTTTTGTCCTCACTCATATACAGACAAAAAGTTTTTTAGGCGAAATAAATAGATCCTTGTGAAAATAATTAATGATTATTTATAGTGTTTGCCAAAAAATATACATATTTGTATGACAACTTATTCCAGGCGATTTAAGTGATAATAATAATTATTATCATTCGACATAATTATTTTGCTACATTTGCTTGTAAGGATAACAATTAAGATTTACTTTCACTCTGTCATTTGATTGAAATTAATGTGGAAATAAAACTTTGCCGGAGAATCTATGTCCTACTACATTGAAAATGTACAATATTTTCTTCTTTATTTATTAGAATCGTCTCTGCTCATTCTATAAAATTACTTATAAAGTATTTGGCTCATAAAGCCTGCTTATGCAATCGAATTTAAATTCTAGTCAACTGGCTATAACAGAGCTCAAACTTTTTCGTAAATTCTGTACACTACTTTCCCTTAAATGATAAAATGTTTACTATATTTCACTTGTATGTGTGTATTAATATACAGATAATATATAAAATTTTAATAAATTAAACTAATTTGAATTTCTTTTCTGAAAAAAAAAACTGTTTTGGTAGACTTTACATTCAATTCAAAGATAAGTCAAAAATAATTTTAACACTATGCATTAGAAAATTTTGTTATTAGTTGTGTGTTATTTTTTAATTTTTAGACAAATGAAATTTAATAACTACATAAAAAGCTGGTTAAAAATAACTGTAAGCTTTGAGATATTTTCCAATTATTGCTTTCTGTGAATATATGAATGAATAATTTATTAAATAATTATAAATATCTCGCCGTTTTATCTTAGGTCACATACGCTAATAGATTTATTTCTCCATACACATCCTGGAAAACCACACAGACAGACATTTAAATTACTGATTTAAACTTTTTTAAATAACTTCATCTTCATCCCATAATTTATCGATATAATCGCGCGTTGTAAATGGAGATGAAATAAAATCTAACTTTTCGATATTTTTTCAAGAAAATGTGCTCACTGCTAGAATCTTCCATTCACGAGTTAGCTTTAGTTTCATCCTCATATCCGAGTACCTTAAGTCTTGACGTCATCGTTAAACCTATCCATAGTATGAAATCGGCCTATCTAGTACATAACCCGTTTCTACACCAAAGGAAAAGTTAAGGTTTCAGATGTCGCTACGTGTCTTTTACAGTTTACATTGCATGTCTTCTCTACATTTTGCTAACCCGAGTCCGTGTTTTACTGCTTTTGAGCTTTCACCACCAAGAATAACCAGTTTGGACGAGAAAGTAAGTTATATTTAAAAAACAAAAAGAAAACAAAGACACGAGGAGTTGTGGGAAGATGAAATGTATGGAAAAATAAGAAAGTGAAAGGACTGGAGAACCTTAATTGCAGAATCAGATGATGTCACCACATACGACAGAAAATACTTGCATAGAAATAAGTAACTATACAAGCATATTTACATTGCTGTTACAATTGCTTTTACTTATTACTGTGAGAACGAGTTAAAGAAAACAACCTGATAATGACCTCATCAGAAGCTAGTATATGTCAACTTTCTGACTGAGAGAGTGTCAACTTACGCTTTCTCAGAGTTGATAGTGACACCTTATGACACCTTTCCTTCGACTTTTAGTCATCTGTAGAGAATTTGCACCTTTGCATATGACGAAGAACAACCGATTTTGGTCAGTCGTCGCCCTTCAAGATCTGTACCTATGTGCTATTACCATCTGCAGTTTCGTTCATGGCTTCAGATTTCTCGTCGTCCTTCTGCTTGTGTGCTACTACTATCCAGAACTGTTAATCGACGACCAGGACTTAATTCCGGTACTCCTCAACGTAGGATTTCTAGTTCAGACTCGAAACATACCGAAATTTATGAACTCTATCTTTCTCCGAGATGATAACACGCATAAATGCAAACGTTATATCTCATTCAGTAGTATAACGTACTGTAAAAACTTTCGTGCGGTTTAACTACATATAAACCTAAATTGTTATGTGTAGTTAATTGTGTTGAGTGACTCCTTCCAACTAAATCTCGTCATTTTCTATTCCATTCTCTTAACTCTAGTCTCACATACGAGACCGCGTTATTCTCATCCACAAAAATGCTCAAAAACTCGAGTAGCAGGCGTAACCTACTTGGTATCAGAATTTCCGAGTTTAATCACTTACATTCGGCAATAAGAAGGCAAGAAAGGCCGTATAAAACTCCACTGGGATCAATTAGGTACAGCCTGGACCTCACACTGGTGTCAAAAAACACCAACGGGAAACGTTATATCACTCCTCAATTAATAGATTATAGACCGAAAGCTTACAACATACTTGCAAATGCTTGAGAAAGTACTCTGACAAGTTTCAAGATGATCAAAAATCAAGCATTCTATCAGTGATGAACTCACATCCTCATTCACATTCTTCGAATTCAGATCAGTAAAACCTAATATTCGAATGGTTAGTACTGTCATTGACGAATTAACGAGGTACACGTTTAAGCTTAACAACACTGCCGACTGATCAGACATTCCGGCCAGGATATTGTGCAAACGTGCCTATTAATAGGAAAAAGCTCGTCGATTTCTCAACATTTAATAGAGTACGTCTTATGGGAGCATGAAGATTATTGTGATAAGATTATTAAGTAACCTATGATCAGTCTTTGACTGTGATGACGACTATAGTTGAAACACACACACCTGACTTACTGTCAGATTGTATTTTGTAAACTCACTTTTGCACAATAAATTTATATTTAAAACTCTACACAACTCTGGATTTTGGTCATTCATGCGCATATATTAGGGGTAGATAAATAATATTTTGTTTAATTTAAAGTATCCGAATAGCAAATATGATACCCAAATAGTTAAAGTCGAAAATACCTTTTAATTATTCATTATGAATTAAGACAGTATTTATTTTGCAATTTCCTACCACTATTAAAGATGGAGATGAAAATAATGGTCAGACAGTTATTTTTTGCAATATTTCAGTCAATTATTTAATGTATAGGCCTATTTAAAAAATTTGTTTCTAGAGTCTGAAATTATTGTATGTAAAATATATATGCGGAGAACTTGCTTATTGTGGACTAACGTGGAAAAAATATAATGTTAAATTAGAATATTAATATTTAGGAGGTTTGTAGAAAATAATCTTACTTTTTCCTTCAGAACTTGGAGTTCGAGCAGGTGACGTCATTCCATTTCTAGCAGGCGGTGTCTTCTTTGGTGAAGGTGTGGTTTTTGAACTGAGAGGCTTTTTAGGAGACGTCGGAGTCTGTAGAAAATTTAACAGAATATACTAATATAAATATAGAGTTGATATATTTCGAAGTATGTAAAAAGAAATCTGAAATATATATATAAAAATTTCTAATATAATAAGTAAAATAAACTCACTCTGGCTTGTCTGGCAGATTCGGCGGTAGGAACACCATCTGAAATACGCAAAATTCTTTATAATAAATTGTTCAAATAATCTTCATATGTAATAAGAGATATTTACTATCCTGTTCAATACCGAAATGAAGCAGCTTGACTATTCAATACAGGAAGAGAGTGACATTCGAGCTGCTAGCAAATGGCATATAATGTATTATTAAAGAACAATTTGAATTGTGAAACACTGTGTATCGAAATAGCCTATTTCTTTTCGGCTTTTCACTAATTTAAATACGAGTAAATCATCAATATTGTAATTTCGAAATCGAAACCCCAGGCAATATTTTCGATTCGATTCTAACTTTAAAATTCTAATAACTGTAAGCAAGGAAAATATAGCCTACGGCATCATATCTAATGGAAAAGTCAATTTTTCGCATTATCGAAACAAAAGAATATGTGAAAACTCTTCGAAATATTTCGAAACGAGAACTTTTTCGATGTGTAAATTTCAACTCTATGAAACATTTTAATAAAACAAAAAACACAAATAATTAAAAGTCGCTATTAAGTTTTCAAATAAACTATCGAATAATAAAATAATTAATGTAATTTTATACAGTGAAGGAATTTTTTATTTTATTTTAATTCTAAATATTTAAAATAAAATAAAAACAACACAGGAAAAAAGTACGAAACAGTATCTTAACTGCAACCGAATAGCAACCACTCAATTTAGTTAAAAAATAATTTGATGTATAAATTACAATTATTTACAATAATTAATCAATCACCTTCGAAATTTTCGTAAAGGTGAAGCCGGAAAATGTTTCACTTTAGGAAAGAATCAATGTCTACCGACTACGTCACGAAAATGAGCACGCATATCACCATGGTAACAAAACCAGATAGAAAGTCAACGACCTGACATTATCAATCGATGCAGCATCCCGACCCTTTCCGATCTTCTAGTTTGAGTATTTTTCAATAGAGTTAATTTTTATTGTCTTTACGATCTTTTTCTTATGTTAAATGAACTATACAAGCGAACAGATTTTTATAATAAATCCTCTTCATTTTTAATATAATTATATCATATGGTTGTAATGTAAGCTAACACTGCAGCAATACAGTAAAATCAAACAGTTATTTGACTGTTTTAGTCGTTGGAAGAAAGCGATAATATGTTTTATTTATTCCAAAGATGCTGAATAATGATAAACATCTTCTTAGTACCTTTTTTATATAAACTTCTGGGTGGAGTTCTTCCAGCTCTCCGCTTGGACGGCGATTTTGGAACATCGTCTTTTTTAATTTTTTTCTCTTTGAGGCGTTTAGGTTTGGGAACTGCTTCTTGTTTCTCTTCTTTTTGTTCTTCTTTCGGAACTTCTTCTATTTTTTCTTCCAACTTAGGAACTTCAATTTCCGCTATATATTCCTTAACCGGTTCTTTTTCTATTATTTCTTGCTTTTCTTCTTCCGATTCGTCTTTTTCGGCATCCCTTTTTTCTTCTTCTTCTGTTACCAAAGATTCTTCATCTTTTGTAAATTCGACTTCTTTTTCCTCCTGAACGTCAGTTTTATCTTTTTTCTCTTCCTCCAATTCAGATTCTTCTTCTTCTTTCGTAATTTCTTTTTCCGTTTCTATTTTCTCTGCAATTTCCTTTTCATCCTTCATTTCTGTTTCCTCTTCTGTTTCTGCTTCTTCCTTAGTAATTTTTCCTTCTTCCTCTTCGGCTTCTTTCACTTCTTTCATAACTTTTTCTTCTTCGGATTCACTCTGTCCGGTAGCTAATATTACTTCTTCTTCAACTTTTTTCTCTTCTTCCACAACCGCTTTTTCTTCTATTATTTCTTTGTCTTCCTCCACAACTTCTTTCTCCTCTACTGTTTCTTTCTCTTCCTCTACGACCGGTTCCTCTTCTATTATTTTCGCTTCCTCCACAACTGCTTCTTCTACTATTTCTTTCTCTTCCTCTACAACTGCTTCCTCTTCTACTAATTCTTTTTCTTTCTCCACAACCGCTTCTTCTTCTACTAATTCTTTTTCTTTCTCCATAACTGCTTCCTCTTCTACTAATTCTTTCTTTTCCTCTACAACTGCTTCTTCTTCTATTTCTTTTTCTTCTTCTACAATTGCCTCCTCTTCTATTTCCTTCTCTTCTTCTACAACTGCCTCCTCTTCTATTTCCTTCTCTTCCTTCACAACTGCTTCCTCTTTCACTAATTCTTCTTTTTCAATTACTTTTTCTTCTACGGTTTCCTCCAACGTTTTCGTAAATTTTTCTTCATCTATTTCCTTTTCTTTTGTTGAATCCTTTTCGTAATCCTCTTCCATGATATTTGCTTCTTTCTCTATTACTTTGTCTTCTATAATTTCTTCTTCAGCAATATCTTTCTCTAGTGTCAATGCATCATCTTTTTTCGTATCCGTATCAGATTCTTCCTTTGCAGGTTTACAAACTACATCTTTCTCATCCTCTTTAGATTCACTTTCATTTATCTCTCCCGCTTTAACAGTATCTTCTTTTTTTACGGGTTGTTCTTCTGTAACAACGTCCTTCAAAACTTCTTCCACTTCTTTACTTGTTTCCTCTACTGTCACTTCTGAGCTAAAGTCTTCCGTTTTCCTTCCTTCAACTTCCCTCTCTCTTCCTACAATATCTTTTTCAGTTTCTTCCTTTTCTTCAGAAATTCCAGAAATTTCTTTTTCACTTATTTCATGTGTTGTTTCTTCCATCTTCTCTACAATCCCTTCTTTTAATTCATCTTCCACAGGAATCTCTTTTTCTTTACTTTCTTCTTTCGCGATCTCTCTCTGTTGTTCCTTCTCTATATCCAACATTTCATCAACATCTTCACGATGATCATCACAAATCTTTTCTTCTGTCTTTTCGGGTTGATCAACAGAAGTATCTTTTGCTTCTGATTCAGCTTTTTCTGTTTTATCTAATTCATGAGTTTTTTCATCCAATTGTTTAGAGAATATTTCTTCATCTTCCTTATTTTTCATTATTTTTTCATCTACATCCTCCTTTATTACTTCATTCTGTTCTTGAGGAATTCCCTTACTCTCTTCTATTAAAACTTCGTCCTTGTCTTTCGCTGCTTCTTCATGGAAAATAGCTTTATCTTCACTTTCATCTTTTAAGTCGTCTATTTGTTCCTCTATTTTTTCTACTTTTTCTACTGATTTATCAGATTTTTCTTCACTGGTTTCTTCCTTTTCAATTTCTACGGCCTTTTCTTCTTTCAGTTCAACACCTTTCTCTTTTTCTTCTGTCTTTATATCTTCCTTGTCGTGAATAGATAAATCTGCAATCGTTTCCTTTGTTTCTTCACTTATATCAAGCGCAGACGAAAGTGTTTCGAGAATTATTTCATCCTCTTTATTCTTTGTTTCTTTTTCGCTTTCCTCTATTTTTATTAAACTTACACTTTTATCTTCGATTTCACTAATAATATCTCCCTTTGAAACCTCTTCTATATCTTCTCCAATTACTTTTTCTTGCTTGTTCATTTCATCAGCATCATCCTGTTTATTCAATTCCTTCTCCTCTTCGGATTTCATCTGGATTAGGTCTTCCTGTTCTTTGATTTTAGTTTCATGTTGATCCTCCATTTTGTCAGAATCCTTGACTATATCTCTGTCGTTCGTAATTGTTTCTCCTTCTATTTCCTTTTCTTTATCTGTTTCTTCTTTCTGATCAACCTTTTCTTTTTCCATTAAAGACGTTTCATCTCCCTTAGTATCAACAGATATTTCTTTTTCAATAGTTTCTGATGTTACTTGTTCTTTTTTCCCTTCGACATCTCCTCCTTCAAGTAAGGAGTCTTCTTTTGAAACCTGTTCTTCAATTTTTTCTTCTTCTTTCCTTTCGGCAGACGGTTTTTCTTCCACAATTTCACTCTCATTTTCGTCTTTAATCGACTGCGTTTTAATTTGTATTTCTGAATCCAAATCGCTTTCGAGTTTTTGATAATCATGTAATTGCTTTTCAAAAGAAATTTCTTCTTTCTTCTCAAATTTTTCTTCAATTTCAATTGATTCTTTTTCAGTTTCAGCCGTAATCGATTCCGTTTCGACTTCTTTAGTCGTTGAAATATCCTCATCCGTTTCTTGTTTAATCTCTTTCTCAATTTGTAAAGAAGTTTCCTTTTTAAATGAATCACTTTCGCTTTTTTCTTCGGCGATTTTATCTTTACTGAACTGAGTGTCTTCTGTTTCTTTTGTTTCTTCCACACTCGTAGGTTCTGCTTTCATTTCGTCTTTTGAAACTTCTTTACTCACTTCTACATCACTGATATGAGTTTCATCTACTTTTTGTTCAACTTGAAATTCTTTTTTCTCAATTAAAATTACTTGGTCAGGTGCAACAATTTCGTCTGTTTCTTCTTGGAGTCCATTAACGTCTTCTATCGTTGGCGTTACGGCGGATTCGTATTCTCTAATCTCTTCACTAATTTCTTGTTCGACTACATCTTTTATTTGTTCAGTCTCTTTTAACGAATCCTTCTCTTCGTCCTTAGGAATATGTACATCAGTAACTTTATCATCCAATTCGTCTATTTTCCGCCTGTCATCAGATGAAATTTCTTCTTTTTCCATCTCTTTCCTATCAGTTTCTTTTACCAACGAAACCTCTTCTTTTTCTGATATTTTGCTTTGTTGATCGTCGATCGTACTTTGTAAAGACTTTGTTTCCGTCGGTGCGGATTTTGGCTCTAGAGTTTCTGTTTCTTTGGCATCTTTTTCTACTAGTTGAATATCTTTTTGAGCATCTGACGGTTGTGCTTGGATCTCAACTTTATGTAAAGCACAAACTTCTCCCTGAGCACTAATCGTATCACTTGCATCTAAGGCAACCTCTACCGGATGTGTCGTAGAGGAAACAGTTTGGGATAAATCCATATCTAATTCTAAATTATCTAATGTTAAACTGTCTAATGTAGGAACACCTTCGTCAGCACCAACGGTATACTCTCGACTTCCGTCTAGAACGTGTCGATCCACTTCGTTTCTAGATATCACAGTCACGTCATCGTCCGGTCGATCCGGAAGAGTTGTGACAGAAGAATGGAAATCGGTTTCTTCGTGTGACGTCCCATTTAGCCTTTGGACTTCGGTGGGTATTGCGTCTTCGTCGACCTCTTCCCTGAGTAGGTGCCTGTTACCATCTCCGTTCACAACTTCTTTTAAGGCAGTAGCTTGGCCGACCCGAGCCATCTTGTCCGGTGCACTTTCTTTTTCCACCTGACTTTGGGGTTGGCTTGGGCCGGTCTGGTCCATAACGATTGTCTGGTTCAAATAAATAACATCTTTCAATTTTCGTAACATATTTAACAATAGAAGCTGCCAGAAAAGATCGAACGAATCACATATTTCACGCAAGTAATTTATTTTCAGATAAACAGTATTTATCGTAACCGCGGAAACTTATTTTCTTTTTCTCTCTAATTTGAAAAAAGCATTAAAGGTTCAATAAAATAAAATAAAAACAAAATACATTGAAAAATGTGTGTTAATCTATCGAAATGAGGAGAAATGTATTAATAAACAGCTAATTTAGAAGATAAATTCATTGTACGAGTTTAGATTTTACTAAATAAGAAATTAGGAGGAACAGAAGAAGATAAAAACTATAATTACAGTTTTTATCTTCTTCTGTTCCCTCTAATTTTTTCCAAATTATTACCAGAAAGAATCAATCATTTAGTGTCTTAAAACGACTGTTATTCACTAACAGGTTAAAGAAACAAATTTTCGAAGGGTCGTTTACACAGTCTAAAAAAGTGCTTTTTCAAGGCTAAGTTGACGCCTTATAAGAGAGGCTTCCTCCTCGTCAAAGAATTCAACTAGTGTTTTTTTTTTTTTTTCCTTTCGACTCAATATCACGCTCGGTTTGTTTAAAGCATCGATGCGCAACTTCTTCCTTTCTAATAAACTTTCTCAATTATATTCCTTAATTGAATAGGATTTAAATTATTTCATAAATAGTTATTAATTTAAAACTGCGCCCATTAATTAAATTCATGAATAAAGAAATTACTGTCACAATTAAAATAAAAAGTTTGTTATCTGAATTAAATTTCTAGTGTCTCTTAAAAATTATTATTATCGAAATATTTAAATAATTTTTATATTTAAATAATTTTTATTAAAAGTATTTACGATTAAAGGATCAAATATATTTTTTAACAACACCCCAAAAATATAAGAAATTGTGCAAAAACAGAAAAATTATTGAAAACGTGGGGACAAAATATTGAAATAAAAATCGATCGAAGTATTTTCAAATTCATTATTCAAACCTTATATTCGTATATAAAAAGGTATCATGAAACTGGACTCATCAATATTTTAAAATCAGAAACGGAACTCGATACAATTTGTTAACATCTCCAACCTGCGAATAAATCCGGTCACGCACGAAAATTGTGGAACGTATCCAGTTTAATAAACATATTCCAGATGTTATAAACAAAATTTATATACACACATTTATAAGTGCAAAATATATTTTGAAGACGAGCGAACACACCCCTTTCGCATTTATAGCGAAACAGTTTCGATCAATTGCAGCAAAGAATATCCGTCTACGTTGCTAAGCAACGTCCTCCGTCATCACTTGTTGTCTAGGCAACCGCCGTCTCGTGCCAATAACCCTTCCCATATCTATCAATCCGTAAATGTCGCCGGCAATCGGTCCGTGACGCTGCACGTGATATGTGTCATCCTGTTGTTTCGCCGTCCAGGAAAAACATCCTAGACCTTTGGATGAAGCCATATTGAAAACGGTCAGGCTCCATTTGCATTCAAATTAATTGTTTTATTACTTTAATAAAGTGTGTGATAAGATCGTAATAATACGAAACTCTTCAAATTTGTAAGTACGAAACTTCCGAAATATTCAATACGTCCTATTTTATAATATAAATCTGCATTAACGTTAAACTATGTTATGCTCTACTGCAATGCTTTTTGAAGTGTTATAAAAGGCATTCAAAACAAGACAATATCTTCAAAAATTCATAAAATTACATACATCTATTTAATAATTTTTAATAAATATTAATATATATATATTATATTTATAAGTATTATATCCGTGGCGAATAAAAAACAATTTAATATAATTGTTCTAATAATATCAAAGCGAGAATTAGTTTATCGAGTACCGAAACCGTCCTGAATTAATTCAAGTTTAATAGATTTTTCTATATACTTCTGAAGAGAGAAAATGGAGAGATCAACACAGGCCTAACGACACTTGACGATCATTTGTAGTTGCTATTTATGCCGATTTCCAACATTACCGACCAACGACGAAATATTCTCAAAAATAAATATCTCATTCGATTATTCTAGAAAAATTTTCAACTAAAATAATCTCGAAATCTTTCTGATTATACAAGATATCAAGTTTTAAAAATTCGCTTAATCGTCTTCGTTATGTCAATATATGAAATGAAAATTCGCAATTTGTAGTAAGTGCTGTCATTATATTACTATTCACGATATGTTGAAATAAATAATAGCATATATCTGACGGCTCTGTATTCTTCAAGTATCTCCATTAATTTGTGGTCATTTTTTACAGCGCATTAACGTAGTTATAGGTTGTTGGCGTATATCGCAAACGTGTACTTTGTTGTAAAATATATAATAACGGATCATATTTGTGGATTAACTATATAATAGATTAATTTTAAGGTCTATTAAACGAGTTTTAGGCATTCTAACGTGGAAATTTAACTTAGTAATAAATCGGAAAAAATTCCATTCCCGGAGAATAAACATTTCATCAACAATGGTAGTCTAGCAATGAAAAATACTTTTTGTTCTAAAAAAACAAGGCTCGCCTCTTTGGTGGAAGCAAAGGAGAAATCTAATAAATTTTAATGACTGGAAGGTAGGTTTTCATTTAACCATCTCTATCCATTTAATGGATTCAGTCGTCTTTGACAAAATTAGAAAAGTGCATTTATATTTTTCTTCATCAACAATGAGAACTTCTGTGAAGTACTTTAAATTTTTTTTTCTAACTTATAATAAATTCAAAAAATTTTATCAAAAGTTAAATAATATAAAAAAAAAATAAATTTCACATAGAAAATAAATTAAATTTTACTCCACAGATAAATATGCGCTTCCGAAAATATTTCAGCAATTATTTAATGATCTTCGTATTGAAAGATTCTCTAGAGAGGTGTAGAATTACTTTCATTATTTCCCCTGTAAAGCTGGCTTTACCTACTTTAAGGATGAATTGCAGTGAAGAATTTAAATGCCTCTAAGATAACATTTATTAGTACAACGTATTGGTAACTGTATAACATGAAAAATTAATTAGCATACTAATATAAAAGAAGCAATTTAGAGTTTAAGCATTACAATAAATTGTACAAGCAGTTTTGTTTAAATAAACAATTTCCTAACTCCTAACGATGCCACGCTCAAAAAATAGCTCTTCGAATATTCAGTAGAACAATGAAGAGAAACTACCTAAGCAATCTGATTAAACGAAGATATTATAAGTTTCGTTTAAATGGTGTACTTTAAAAAAATATGTAAACTTATTTGAAAAGCTATTTTATCAACACTTAAATTTTTAATGCAATTCATAAGTTTTAACTAAAATTCAGTGAGTGTTTAAATAAATATAAGTCTTTACAGTTGAGTGTCTAACTTCTTATAAATATGCCACAATATAAAAATTTAATTTATTAATATATTCAGAGACTAACGAAAAAATACAGATGGAAATTGAATTAACAATTGTAAGTAAAACATTTATTTTATCATAAAAAGTACGGCGTTTATCTATTTAATAAGAAATAAACTACAAAAATATTTTTACTTTCGATATCTAAAAATAAATAATGAAAAGAATGATAAATAATTAATCACTTCAATTATTTTTTATCTCAATATTTCAAATTATTTCCTTCTAAAATAAATATTAATTATGTCATTTTAAAATGTCTGAGTTTTACTTGTCAGTTTTTAATTTTTCATATATCAAAGTTTTGTTAGTAGTTACAATATAATTTTAGAAGATATGAACATCTCGAAATATTTAATATGATAGGGTATATGTCAATTAATTACTTAAAATACAATTATTTCTGTTTACAAATGAAAAATACTCGATATAGGTCTACTTAATTATAATAGTTAAATAGCCAAATAAACTTATATAAAAGAATTTAGAATACCTTTAACAATGATTAGAAATGCATAACGTTTACAAAAATAAATCAAATATTTCTGTTTAAATATGCTTATTTTATTTTTTAAGTTTTAAAATTCAGACATTTTAATTTTTTAGTTTTTTATTTAAAATGAGAAAAAACTAAATGAAATCTTATTATAGAATATTAACAGGATTCTATATTTAACAGTTAAATACGTTATTCTTCTAGTACAGATGCACTACTTAATCACTACGTGGCATCCATATTGGAATGCCAAATATTCAGCACCACTACAAAAACATTTCTAAAAAAAAATAAGCCATTAATCAATTAAAAAATTCTCTAAAATGTGTAGTAATAAATATTTAAGTAAAAAGGTATTTAGATCAATAAATTTTCTTAAAATTTTCTTTGGTTTCTGCATCCAGAATTTTAAAACAAAAACGAAATTGTTTTTGGAAGAATTTCTGCATTGTTTTCTTGGACAGTTTCGAATAGATAACGGATTTTCAATTGTACATGTTTTCAAAAAAATGCAAGTTTTTCGTACAGCATAAAGAAAATGGAAAACAACTAAATTCCTTTCCTTTTTTACTAGAAAGACAAGGAACTCTTCAAATACACTTTAAAAAAATAAAAAGAAACTTATTGAACTGTTTTAATTTATAGAAGAACTCACGAAATCAATTCAACTATTCCAATCTATCTGATACGGAACAAAATCATTAGACAAACATCATTAAAAGTGAACGATTATAATTAAGCAAGCTCAACGGCTTGAAAATTCTATTTTTTTCTTTTTTTTTTCCAAAGTTAAGCTGTGCCAAACAATCAATTTTGATACCATTAATATAATATTGTTGACATATCATCCAGTTCTTTCTTCATAAAAGTTTTATCTAAATAACAAACAATAAAAAATAACACCCAATGCTTTTTAAGTAGCAATAATTCCCTTCTGGAAGAAATATCATCTTGTCATAGCATGATGCCCACAAACTCGGAATTTTATTACTTCCAGATTCTTCTCATGTGCTGACTTTACGCATCAGTCCCGTTACTAAAAATGGAAAACAATAGATATTGTCTACCACAGCAGTA